TGTCTCCAAACACTGCTGAATGTCCCCTGGGTGGCAAAATAGCCCCCAGTTGAGAATCACTGCTTTGAAGTATATTGTAATATTTGGCAATGCTACCTCTTGGCATTGCTCTCCTTTGTCTTCTTGCTTGTTTAATTCTCTTAAATGCATTTTACAAGCCACATGTCTATTTCCAGAAGAAAACACAATAGAATTTTTATTGGGATCGCATTACATTTATAAATTAAGGAAGGGAAAAGTTCTTTATGATGTTGAATATTCCTAAGAACATGAATATTTACATTTATTCAAATTTAAATGTGTCTTCCAGGAATGTTTTATAGTTTTTCTTATGTAAGCTTTGGATGTTCCTTATTAGGTTTTGCTATTATAAATATAGAGTAATTTCGCATTGTATCCTGGAATTATAGATTCTGCTATTTTTCTCCAGAGTGCTGATATTTATATTTTAGTAGGCCACTCACTTGGTTCAACTCAACTGAACCTATGTGTGCAGCACCTCAGATCTCAGTTCAGACTGAGATCTTCAGCCTGTTCTGTTCATGGAGAGCCAGTGGCTTGCCAGAGTCTCTATTCTGACTTAGGGATCCTTTCTCTCTTATTCTCTCCTTTCTGGGATTCCCTCCTCCCTCTCTGGAGACTGATTGTCCTGAGCCCCTTGTTTGGTTCCTCTGACAAGAAAGAGTTCAAAGATCCCTGGATCTGTGCTAGTTTTATGTAGGTTGGATTCCTCAAGTACCTTTAGACATTATTAGACCTTATCCTATCATGGCCTCTTGTACACACACAGAAATGGGATACAGCAGAATCCTTCATGGTTTGGGCTGCTTTCGTCAGTGAGCACCTGTTGGCGATTTGAGGGTCCTCCTGTTACCTACCAGGGTTATCAGATAACACATTGCTTCCCTCACTTCTCTCAAACAGGTGGCAATTTCATATGGAGATCTTGTAGGTTTGGGTGGTGTATTAGTCTCCTAGGACTGTTGGAGCAAATTTCCACAAACTGCGTGGCTTAAAAATAGCAGAAAATTGTTCTCTTACAGTTCTGGAACCCAGAAGACTGAGATCAAGTTGTCATCAGGGCCATGCTCTCTCCGAAGGCTCTAGGGAAGGGTCCCTCCTTACCTCTCTTCTAGCTTCTGGTGGCTGCCAGCAATGCTTGGCATCCTTTGGCTTGTAGGTACATCACTGTAATTTCTGCCTCCATTGTCACATGGCATTCTCTGTGTGCCCAAATTTCTATCATCTTAAAAGAACACTGATCATTGGATTAAGGCCCACCTTCTCCAGCATGATCTTATCTTAACTTGATTGCACCTACAAAGACTTTATTTCCGAATAAGGCCACATTCAAAGACACCAAGTGTTAGGATTTGAATATATCTTTTGGGAGACACAATTCAACCCAAAACAGGTTTCCCTCAATGAATCATACTGGAGGTAGAGGAGAATGGGAAAACTTGTAACCCAGTATTGTTGTAGAAGTAATTCATGGATTTGTGGTCTTTCCCTGTCTCTGTCTCTCTCCTTCCTCCCCCTCTCTCTTCCCTTCCTCCTCCTCCTTAGTTTTTCTTTTTGGTCAGGAATGGGGAGATTCCTAAAAGGTAAAAGCATTGAAGACCCAAGTTAAAAAGTGGGTTGATGGTGGAACTAAAAACAAGTTTGCTTTTGGCATAAGTATCGTTCAAGACACATCTAAATTGTGGTCCTACCTAAAACAGGTTAGAAAATCCCTATTTTAAAATTAATAAAAGATTTAGGTGAAAACATTTTAAATATATTATCTCAGACTCCAAATTTCTAATTATGATTTTTATTTTATACATAGAAATATATTTTATGTGTATATAGAGAATTAAATAACTTGCATAACATCTCATAAATAGTAAATTAGAATATAACTCACTGTGTTCTTTTATGTATTAAATACATATGCATATTAATCACATTATTTTAGAACAGTTTTACTTAGTTTACACCTATTTCTTTTAAAAGTGGAAAACCACTAAAATGAAATTAAAATTTTTTAAAAAAAGGAAAAACTCATCCTATTTCCTTAGACTAAAAATATTTTCTTTTGCATATCATCTTCCAGTATTTTTCCATTTCCATTAATACTTTTGCACAGTTGCAAGAAATCAAGGTTCTTAACTTTTTTTTTTTTTTTTTTTTTTGAGACAGAGTCTCACTTTGTTGTCCAGGCTAGAGTGAGTGCCGTGGCGTCAGCCTAGCTCACAGCAACCTCAAACTCCTGGGCTCAAGCAATCCTTCTGCCTCAGCCTCCCGAGTAGCTGGGACTACAGGCATGCGCCACCATGCCCAGCTAATTTATATATATATATATCAGTTGGCCAATTAATTTCTTTCTATTTATAGTAGAGACGGGGTCTCGCTCTTGCTCAGGCTGGTTTTTGAACTCCTGACCTTGAGCAATCCGCCCGCCTCGGCCTCCCAAGAGCTAGGATTACAGGCGTGAGCCACAGCGCCCGGCCAAGGTTCTTAACTTTTAAATAAAAAATAAAAAAGCAGAAAAATTGTATGTAACTACAGAATTCAGTTTTAAAAAATTAATTGTTTTGCATTTTCACTTAAAATGAAATCCATAACACCCAGGGGAATTTTCAGTCTTGTGAGCTGCTTCTTGGAATCTTCCTTCACGAATTGCTGACACTGGTATTACAACTGTTCTGTTTTCACAAGGGTACATTATGTAATTAAATATCAAGGCTGCAGTATACCTGCCCAAGCTATCAACTTTAACTGAAACATTATTTTATTATTAGATAATTTATTAATCTCAATGAGTTTAAGGTATAAGAATTAAAAATTGACTAGATAATTTCTGTGACTAATCACAATTCATGATATATAAATTACCATTAAAATATATATAAATTTAGTGCAAAAGATTACCCTAGATTCAGATGTGAACACCTCTGAAAAGAAATTATCTAGACACATAGCACAGAGGCAAAAGTGCTTAGTAATTAAGAATGAACTTTGACTTTGGAAAAAACTGGGTTCAGACCTTGAGTCCTTTATGAGCTGACTAGTAAAGGTACTTAAACCTCCCTAAACCTACAGCTTCATTATCCATTAGTGTAGAAAGTATTAATATGATTTATTTCAGAGGGTTCTTAAGAATGTGGTAAGATTCGTACAGTGTCTGACTTTAGGCATTCAATTACTGAGTATCAGTTGAATTCAACTGAACATTGAATACTGAATTATTAATTGTTGAATAAATATTCCAAGAGTAATAGGTCACATAGAGATATTATTCTGTAAAGCTGATTCAACTGACCTGATTCTGGTCATTTGAACCTCAATTATAACTATCACATTGGCCTACCTGATTGTGGTATTTATGTTTAAAAATACCTGAATGGGCATTTTCAACCCTCAGCTTTATCACGATAATAGAAATTAGTAGTTATAAATCATAAAAATTTATATAGTTTACTACACATTTAACTTAAACATATACATAACAAATATAATTAATATGTAGTTATAAGCGAAGTATGGTCCAGAACTTAATTCCAGTCTTTCTCAGGTTAAACTTTAGGCAGATGAAGAAAATGTTTTGATCTGGTACCCTTCTTCCTCTTCTCTCATTGTGCAGGCTCAGGTACTGTCCTGTCTCCTTGTTTTATACTGATCGGTCACAGGTTTGTCACTTCTTTACTTTAGTAATATGGATCTCAGACTACAGTTACTCAAAGTTCACACAGTCTTCATTGATGGTATTTATTTGTTGCACCACTTTTTGAGCCTTATTAGTAGGCTCGTTCTTTTTAGAAATGCACACATTTCAAAGTCATCTGATGCAGTTGTATATTGGTCAGGGTTCTTCAGAGAAACAGAACCAATGGGCTAAATGCATAGATATGTACAAAGAAATTTATGATGAGGGATTGGCTCATGCAATTTTTGAGTCTGAGAGGTCCGACAATCTGCCATCTGCAAACTGAGGCCCTAGAAAAGCTGGCAGTATAGTTCTAGCCAAAGCCCAAAGGCTCAGGAACCAGGAGTACTGATGTCCCAGCTCAAGCAGACAGAAAATTCTCTCTTCCTTCCCCTTTTTGTTCTATTCAAGGGATTGGATAGTGCCTGCCCACATTGCTGAGGACAGATATTCTTTATGCAGTCTACCAACTCAAATGCTAATCTCTGGAAATACTCTCAGAGACACATCCAGAAATAATGTTTATCAGATATCTGGCATCCGCTAGCCCAGTCAAGTTTACACATAAAATGAACCACTATAAGCTGCCTCTGGCCTTTTGTGTGATAATTCACCCTGATGGAAGGTGACATCAAGGAAGGCTTTAATAGAAGTTATTCCATTTCTTCTAAACCTTGCACCATGTCAGATAGACTGCTTGGCAGGGGAGGCATTCCAGGAGCAAGGAAAAGCTGTAAGTGTTGAGAACACATCTTATTCCTACTAGTCTAGTTACACAGAAAGGCTCTTTGGAGGAGAATGACAATGGACAAATCTGGACATGAAGCCAGATTATGACAAGCCTAACGTGCAATGCTAAAGAGTTTGAATTCCACACCACAGGTGTAGGTGCACAAGATGATGAGCCATTAGAACATGGCTTTACATTGCCATTTACATGTGCATTGCAGCAACTGTGTAGTTGATAGATAGCTAGAAAGGGCACCCGAAGTGCCATCCCTTCACATCCTCTACTTTCTCCTCAATGGAGTGCAAGCCCTTGAGCGTCACAATCTCTTCTATTCCTCTGTTCTACCGCCATGCATTCTTCTCTTTATGGCATGCATTTTACTGCGCTGCACTTATTTATTCACAAGCTTGTCTCCTTGGCTAGATCATAAGCTCTTTGAAGGCACAGGCCATACTGCACTCAGTTTTGTACACTCAATATCTAGCCTAGTGTCTACAAGACAGTAAGTAGTCAATAAATTCATTGTTGATGCAAAGAACAACTCAATAAGCATTTACTGAGTTGCTACTATGTGTTTTCTAGGAACTGCTATAAGCACTGAGTATATCACAGTGAATAATACAGTGAAAATCCCTGCCCTTATGGAATTTGCATACTATTAAATAATTCAGAGACATGCAGTAAGTAAGCAAGTAAGTAAATAAATGAATGGGTAAAATTTTAGTATGTGAGATGGTGGTAAGGGCTGTGGTAAAAAAGAAATAAGGGAGGAGAGTAGAAGGTGAAATTTTAAATAGGGTAGTCAAAGAAAGCCTCACTGTGAAGCTGACATTAGAAGATACTTGAAAAATGAGGGAGCAAGCTATATGGATGTCTGGAGGGAGAGGTTGTAGGTTGAGGAAAGCCCTGAAACAGAACCGTGCCACATTTTCAAGGAATAGTAAAGATGCCAATGTGACTAGAACAGTGAGCACTGTATGCCTGTATTTAGGATGCCATAATAATTTTGGTTTTTATTCTAAGTGGAATGAGAAACCATTGGAGGGTTTTGACCAGAGCGGTGGCATGATCCCAATGAGTAATTAAACATAATAAGTTTGGCAGCTGTTTGAGAACAGTCTGAAGAGGGAAAGGTATTCTTCTGGGTGAGAAAAGGTTGCTTGGATCAGTGTAAGATCAGTCAACATGGAGAGAAGTGCTGAATACAGTTTGAAGGTAGTTTCAACAGGGTTTGCTAATGGCTAAATGGGAATATGAGAGAATGAGAGGAGTTAGGAATGTCTCTAAGTTTTAGCTTGAACAACTGGAAACATGGAGTTGCTATTTACTGAGATGTATTGGGTGACCACTTACTTCATTGTCAAGTTATGTTGATGATGAGAATGAAAAGGGATGTTGTATACACTTGGGAAAACACATGTAAACTGGGACTATCGTAGAAAACTTCTTCACCCTAGGGCTGTGGTTCTCACTTGAGTGTATTTGCCCCTCACAAGATATTTGGCAACATCTGAAGACATTTTTGGTTGTCACAACTGGGAGGCTGCTACTGGCATCCAGCAGATAGAGGCCAGGAAGGCCAGGGATGCAAAGAATTATCTGGTACGGAAGTGTCAGTAACACTAAGGTTGGGAAACTCTGCCCTAGAGCTGGGAAGGAGAATGAGAAGGCTAAGTCTGCTGAAATGAATTGAGATGAATAGCATTATAATTGAAGAGAGAAATTATGAGGGGACTTATTCTTCATTCATTGATCATTTCTACCCAGCCTACTTCTAAAAAAATATGAGGCCACTTACCAAAAAGAGGCATACATTTATGAGCCTAGCAAAGTATTAATTAGCAATTATACATTTGAAAATATCTATAGAGCTAATCAGCCTTAAGATGACAACTGGGTTTTACTGGGACACTCACCCACTACTCAGCTATCCTTTCTTTCCTTTTCATTTTGGTAAAAATCACATAACATAAAATTTACCACCTTACCCATTTTTAAATTTACAGTACAATAGTGTTAACTATAATAGATGTATATTACTGTACAACAAATCTCTAGAAGTTTTTCATGTTGCAAAACTGAAACTCTGTACCTATTGAACAATAAAAGTCCCTTTTATCTCCTACATTTAGTCCCCGGAAACAACAATTCTACTTTCTATTTCTACAAATTTGGCTACTTTAGATATCTCATATAAGTGGAATCATGTAGTATTTGTCTTTGTGTGACTGGTTTATTTCACTTAACATAATGTTCTCAAGGTTCATCCATGTTGAGACATGTGACAGGATTTCATTCCTTTTTAAGGTCGAATAATATTCCACTATATGTATATACCATATTCTTCATCCATTCACCTGTAGATGAACATTCAGGTTGCTTTTCTGGAAGAACCTCCACACTGTTTGCCATAATGGCTACACTCTTTTACATTCTCACCAACAGTAGAAAAGAAACCTAATTGCTCTATATCTTCACTAACACTTGTTATTTTCTCTCTTTTTTTTTTTCTTTTTTTGGAAAGAAAGGTGATGCTGATATTTTCTCTTTTTTTAATAGAGGCTATACTAATTGGTGTGGTTTTATTTTGCACTAGCTATCTTCTTTCTTTTTTAACCAAAGGCTCAGTTCAGCGACAACATCATTGGTGCTGACAGTGTCTTGAATTTCCAAAGTATATAGGAAAAAATGATGTTAGAATGTAACTTTAAGAAAAGGGATTGTCATGATCGCCACCCAGCTAAAGACAACTATCTGAAATTGATTTTATAATCAAGGTTCTTCCTATCCATAACATATAAGTAAACTCAGGAAGAACAAGATCATCAAGTGAGATACCCAAACTCATTCTTATCCCTACACTCCATCTTCCTACCAAAGCAGAATAAATGAATGAGTGAGCAAATGAGTGAATGAATGAATGAATGAATGAAGACACCATTAAAAACAGTGGCAGAACTCAAGAGGCTGACTGCCCTATCTCTGCAGCTATCCTTTTTTTCTTCATCTGTTTGCACTATATGTGAAGTAATAACTACAATTTCACACTTGCTGACTTTAAAGCACTCTTTTCAAGTCTCAGTTTCAGTCTTTGCATTTTTATTATCTCCTTTTTTTTTTTATTCCTAATCAAAATTAATCATTGAATGAGACAACTCCAACAGTTGGATATACCTGATTGAGCATGTTGAGCTCTTCACAGCTGGGATCTGAGAGTGGCATGCCAACTATTAGCTAATAAAGCAAATTATTAAAATCTTTAAAACCAGCCCTAATTTTCTGCATTCAGGACTAATAGATAAGCATTCGTAAACTCAAAGCCTTTCCTGTCTTGATCTTCCTCTGTGATCTTATAACCTGGTCATGAGCTTTAATAAAATGGGCAAAAATGTCTTTCTGCCTGTGCCTAAACACTCAGAGGGTGCCCACAAGCTTTTCTTTTTGGTAGAAATGATATCCAGGCTTCATTTTGCACTTCTCCCTTCCTCAGCATAGTTTATACTCAGGCACATGAGAGCATTTATGGTCATTACATAACATGGTACAGGGCAAGGGTGGAGTGTTTACACATGCAGAACTCTGCCCTGTGTGTGGAATGTGATAGAAACAAGTTTAGGCAGGAATGTGCCCCCAAAGATGGGGAACTTCAAGGGGAAATTCGTGGAGAGAGTGATCAACCAATCTTTGTGTTCTGCTCATTCAGGTTAGATTTCATGAAAAAGAAGGAAGGCTATAAAATATGTATGTTTCTTGGCAATACATGGATTTCTGCATTCGCTTATTTGTCAGGGAGCTCTGAATGTTTTAAACACGAACACTGTTTCTACATATGTTGTGAGGCAAATAGTTCTATGGCACAACACCACTGGTACAATTAAAGAGCAAACAACACCATGTAAACTTTCAAGGGAAAAACAAAAGGGAAAAAGATACAGGGCTATGTTTGAACTTTGGAATCTCCCACGTTGCTGTTGTATGCTTGAACAGCATGCTATGATCATGGTAGAATTATATGAGGGACCACATGTAAAGCACTTCTACTCTCAGCCCTACACATCACCCTAAACTAAAACAAAACAAGCACAATGGCTAGTAGATGCCAAAAGGATTAATATATTGTCCTTACTCGACCTTTTCCTCAGTTCCATTTGAATAAAACAGGTGGTTCACTTCAGTCACTCACAGATTTATGTTCCAATCCTGAAACCTAGACTAAAGAGCAAAAACAGATCAATTGAATACCTGTTTTTCCAAGAATGAAAGATACTCATGTTCATGAAGCGGATGCCCACATTCCTTCTGCCCTCCATCTTTCCCAGCACTCACTATTAATTACTACTTGTCAATGCTTGTTAAAAGCTGCCTACATCCACTTTCTGAATCTCAGAATAAAATTAATAGACACAGTGGGCATACTTCCTGAGACTCATCATGGGGACTCTGTAAATCTAGCACATTTCATTATCTAAATGTGACAATATGAAAATAAATTTCTTTTTTGCATTTGTAAAATTCAAGAGTGCTCATAACCTTCAGGGAAATTGGTCTTTGTTCTTGTAGTATTACAAGCGAATCACATAAACTGTCTGTTCCAAGGAATACAGAAATAGAACTAAGAGTGTGTACATATTGCATCTTGAAAAGTGATTTCACATTACTTGTTATTCTGCTTCCAAAGCATTATACAAAATTGATTAAAGAGAAAACTGGAATATCATCCACCAGAGAGGAAGGTTACTTCTCAGCTCTTCATCCCCCTCATGACTTATTTTTAAAGTGCTGTTTTTAAGACACAAGGCTCAATTCATTTTTTTGGAAGGCACACTGGTAGATATTTGCTCAGTTCTTGCTGCAGAAACTTTTTTTCTTTGAAGGAATCTCAGCCACTGTGATAATGAAATCTTACAAAATATTTCTTCACTTATTATCTACTCAAAACTAGCATTGATCACAAATTCCTAAAATAGTTTATTAAAGTTAAATTAAAGATTAAATTAAATTAAAATCAAAAGATACATATATTTTTAGTCAAGTCAAAAATTCAGCTTTAGAATCCATAATAATCATTATTATAGAAAATGATAATAATATGAAAAGAAAGGAATAGTATATGGTACCTATAGGTTGGACTTTAAATTTTTTTGACTACATTAAAACTTTAGTATAATTCTAACTATCCTTTTGAAATCCTGCAGATTCACACAGGATGATTTTCACATCTAGACTTCTTTTAACATTGATAGAAGAAGAATATTTATTTTCTATGTATATCTTTTAACTCATTAAGATGGAAAGTAAATGTTTCAGCTAATAAAAGATTATCTAATTTTTCTTTTGTTTTCTGGTTCTTTTCTCATATCCCTGTCTAATTATAAAAAAAAAAAAATCATGTGGATCTTTTGGATAGGTATTAAACAATTATTATTTTAAAAATAGACTCAATTAATAAATCTTTAATAAGAATTTCTCTATTTTAAATAATAATAAAATACCCCCAATACATGCTTAAATCCCTCTACTATTTATTCATTAACCATTAGTAACGGCTACAAGAAAAAAGTGAATACAAAGGTAATGAATGTAAGAAATACAAAGATAAACAAAACGGAAGGATGTAGAATATTAAAGTCCTAATGCACTCAAGTGACTGGAAAGAACCAAAATAATGTCATCAGTAGACTTCTTTAACAAGAAAAACCATGTCATAAACACTGATCACTGAAGCTGGACAACTTTCGCCACCTTTCATTAACCACCACTGCGCCCCCTGCTGTTCATTTTGTGATCTGTATCATTATGCGGCCAAAGGCCTATATAATTCATGCCCAGGCTGTTCAGCTGTCCTTTAAATCCATC